GGAGGCAACTGAAAATGCAATATACGAAAATATGTGCCGGGAAGAAGCCGCCAAAAACAATTTACCAATTTATGTTGAACTGCGGCGTGGCGATCTGATCCGATACGTTTTTCGTATCGTATCGTTTCGTTTCTCCAACTTCCAGGGCTCAGGGCCTTCAGAAGAAGCTTACACACTCGTTGACTCCGGACTCCCCGACTGGCAAATCACTAAATTTATATGTTTTCTGATTCAAAATATTTATTGCCAAACCGCGCACAAATCCAGAGGAGTTGCCCCAAAAAGGGCACCAAAGTGTTTGGTTTTGCCTGGGCTTGAAGCCTGTGTTTTTTGGTCGGCTCTTTGGTTCAGGAAAGGAAGTCCCGAAGACGCTGCGCTCAAATTGCCTGAAAAATGGGAGGAGGACATTAAAATTCAGCAAATGTATTTATTACGGCACCAAAACCACCGCAGCAAGCCAGAAAGTGATGCCCACATAAAGGACGGAAGGGCTGACTAAGTGCACTTAACGAAAATATGGCAATGGCTTTTATGATTTTATGAGGTATTTCTATAAATAGTATTACTAACGAAGCTCTCGTTTGGTTAATACATATTCAAAATACGGTGTATATATTACGAATAAGATAAGTCTTATTCAGTTATTATTCGGTAGTAAACATCCTAAATATTTTACTTAAAGCAATAAGGAATTTTTTAACCTCAACTTAAACTTTTATAAAACCATTTGTAAAATAAGTCTATTGAATTTGTACGATGTTTTTGTTTTTTTTTTCCTTGTTATTTCAATGTAAGAACTTTTTTCAAAACGTAGTCTAACATAGAAACTTATAGTACTAGCTGCTGATTTATTGTGTATTATAAAAAAGAATTAATTAATATTTATAAATATATTTTTTTATTGTGGGTTTACAGAGTCCAAATTAAAAAAAAAGAGAAACCCAAAGGCCTTTAAGTAGTCTCAATGAGTACTTTCACCTTAACTCAAGATTGGGACCCACTTAGAATCCCCAGATATATTGAAAACTATATAAACTTTTTTTCAGCGTGTATTTCTGGCTCTGGGGTCTTTTGGTCTTACACTTGGCTTGGCGGCATGTTTGCAGATTGATTTGCTGCGCCTTCGAGGGAGCCGAGACACTTGCCAGACCGACCAAGAAAAAAAAGGAGGAAAACGCAGAAATCAATTGTATACCTGTGTGAGTGTGTGTGTGTGTGTGTTTATGTGTGTTTGCGGAGAAGCATTTGGTGAGCAATCAAAGGAGTTGGGGGAACAGGCTATATCCACACTGTAGCTAGTCCTGGACCTAGGCAGCAAAAATTTATTTGCACTGCCCCTGCAGCTGAATTATTTTATTTAAACCGACGAATTCAATTAGAGACAGTGACTTGGTTTTTGCGCCTCCAGTTGGATGCATGAAGATCAAGGAGATGGCAGGAGGCTGTGGAGAAGCAGCGAACTCATTGAATTTGCGTTGGCGCTGAGGGCGAGTCCTATAAAAAAAGGTTGGGGTGCGGCACTAACTTCTCCTCACGCAACTTTCTACAGAGCGAAAAAATGTATTTATATGTTTTATCATACAAAAATATTTTATTGTAAATGGATATATATTTTTTTATTAAAAAAAAAAACAGATAATTGTCATATTAAACCAGTATGAATGACTAATCCCATCTCCATTTTAGAATTTCAAAATTACGAACATTTAAACTCAGTGATCATAAATACGTTAACACTTTTTTCTCTGCTGGAAATTCAACTCCTCCGTTCGAGACAAGTGGAACAGGATGACGCCAGACTTTTTGTTTCGTTAGTTCCTTTAATTTGATTTAATTATATGCACAAGTGATCGCTCCTCTCCTCCAAAATTTATCTGGGGGCGTGGAACATTTCTTCGGCTGTGCCCAGTTTTTTTTTTTTTTTTTTTTGTGGGGCTGCCACAATATTTCCACCTCCCGAAATGTGACGTATTTTGGGTTCGGTGCTCGCCTGAAAAATCACCGCTTTCGACTCTCATTGTGTGTGATGATCGTTTTGCTATTGTTGCCAGCGCTGATCTTTAGGAGTGGCTTGTTAAATTTCACTTGCATGTCGAGGCAGGCTTTATACCCACCTCCCATTTTCCCTCGTCCAAATCGAGGTGTTGGGCGTCGATTTATGCGCTTTTCACTTGTCCCGCGTTGGCGAGATTTTTGGCTCAGGAGGTGGAGCTCTAACTTAAGGAAAGGTTTAAGATCTGTCTAGAGAAAGATCGAAATCGTAGAGGAAAAATGGCTGGGAAATGTACGGGCTTAGAACTTTCATTTAAGGATTGTTTCATGTTAAATCTGGGTCAAATCAGTGGTCTGAGTGAAAGATTTATCGCCATCTAATATTTTACTATTTTGTTACAGAATTAACTAAATAACTTGCAGACATACTTTTAATAGCCCCATAACCAATTATTATCTGCAATTTAAACATATAAATTAAAGGCAATTTTAAGAAAACTTGATATATGGCTGGCAGTCTGGACAAATGGCTTGGGCTATTTGTCAGCAATTGAACACATCAAACTGGGTGCAGTGAAAACTATGCCAATTAGATCTTATCGCCGGACATTTCCCAACCAGAAAAACAACAAGCTCTTTTGACATTTCGCTGCCGTGGTAGAAGATCAACACGATTCCCAAACAGCAGCCCGGAATGATTTATCACCGGCTCAGAGCAATCAACATAGAAAACCATAACAGATCATGCACCAGCCGAAAAGAAACAAATACACAAATACCAGAAAAGGCCACTAAACCACATAACCGTCAGTGTTTGAAACCAAATCTGAGACAAACGAATGAAAAAAAAAACAACACAAAAAAAGAAAAAGACCAATCGCGCAAACGACGACGACAGGTGATTAATTGTTTCAAACGCGTAGACGTTACTTAACGCTCTGTCAGTCGGCGAGTTTCGGGCTACAGGTTCAACCTCAAACTCCGGCTCGTAATGTCAAAATCTCCTCCGATTGTGTGCTACCCATATATGGTCTATAGACTCGGTGTATTTGTACGAGTACCCGTACCCGTATGTACTTTGCGGCCAAGTGTCGAGGTGAGTGCGAGAACAAAACAAGTTGCATGTCTCAATGAATGAATAGCCGAATAGTTTGAATCACCCAAGCACCTGAAATTCGAAACAAAACAAAAAGCCAAATGCTCGTAACTCGTGAGCAATGACAGTCGGCGGTTGAAGTCATGTTTCTGACAGTCCTAGAGAGGAGTTCGTGAAATTAGAATTAAATATTTTAAAATAAAACCAATTCAGCCAAATGTGATTCTGAAAAGAAGTTAATTCTTTTTAAAAATCTGAAATTCTCAATCTTGACTATTTTGGACTAAAGCAAGGCATCTTAAAGTCAGTTAACAAAAGAAATATAAAATGCTGCGCTCAGTCCAATATTAATTCGCGTTACATAAAACATTTCATTGACTATACCAATGGTTACACAATAATATCAAGAAACATAGACAAATGTAATTTTATTTTTGGCATCTTTTAAACTTATCAAATGTCGATTAGAACCCCTCGACACGAACACATCACCAATCCTTTTAGGTTCCACTTTGGCGTGCGTCGTGGCTCAACCAAAAAGTTAAGAGGCGAACAACATGGAGTAAAAAAAAAGCGTATATATACGAACTTGAGCTTTGTGCTGGTGTCTGATGTCTGGCCATATGATCCACTGATTGCTTGATTATTATTTTGATTAATTAGCCAAGATTTGGCTAGTTCAAACTGCACGGCCCACGCCCGGAGCTGAAATCTAGCCATTGTGCGGTGACTGCCTCTCAGGTTGATACTTGCCAAGACCTGGGTATTCTATGATTGATTGAAGTTTTCTTTGATAACAGCTTACAATTGAGAAATTATTTACATGAGCTATAATTAAACTTGTTTGTTGTTGCCTGTCATTTGGTTTTGGATGTGGATTGCCATTGGTACTGGGTACTGCGACTGGGCCTGAGTTTGAGTTCGAGTATGAGTTTGGAGCTCGAGTCTGGTTTATTGAACCGCAGCGCACTTCAATTGAACCACATCGGCGGATTGTGTGGGTCTGTGGCCGCCGGCAAGTGATGTTACCTCTATAAATAATCAGGAAATTGCTTTAGGGCCTGTCAGATGCTGTGAGTTGATTAGCCCGGCCATATAGTGTGTTTAGTGAGTGGGTTTGCAAATGCGCAAATTGGAAATTGAGGAAAGCTGCGCGAAGATGGGCTGGGCTGCCAAGTGATATGGCCCAAAATCAGCCTATATATCGACAAATTCCATTGCAGCAATCCCCTTAATTTGGCAACACTTTCGGCTGAAATTGTGTCAACCGGTGCGGACTCATCCTCTAACTCGGCACCCAGTCACGATCCATTAGAAAGCTAACCAAATACTATATAATCTTAATGCGGGCACCCAAAAAACAAAACCGAAAAAAAAAGAAGGAAAATAAAATCGACGGATGCGTGTCGTTTTCGACTGGCTCTGCCACTGATTTAATTTGGAAAGCGAATGAGACACGACTCTGGCCGAGCATTTGTCCAGCTTTAAGGCCTGATAGCCAAAGCCAAAGCCAAAGCTAAGCCAAAAGCACGGCTCTTCACTTGCCAGCCGAGGGGAACATGCAAAGTGACAGCGGCGACGACGGAGACAATTCCATATTTGGCCAAATTCAAATGCCATTAACACGTACGCCATTTGTCGGACTCTCAGAAGAGGATGAGTGCGAGAGGTGGGGTTGCACTCAGCCAAAATTCTTCTAATCTCGTCCTTAATATAGCCTTTACATCAAATCAAAATTAAAAAACATTATTATAAGCTCACAAATTAGATAAAAAGTTCTTTAAACACATAAGGTGTTTAAATAATAGCTAGAATAAATTTAAATCCCTAAACTGTATCAATCCTTTGGTTGGAATTTAAAATGGCTTTTCATTTTCAAAATAACACCCCCATCAGTTAATCGAGTTATTGACTATAATTTTCTCCAAGTGCATTGAGCAACCTGGGGTTCATTTGTCCACCGTTTCCGCGTTGCCTTCGTGTCGAATGCCGGCCAGCACGCATTTCCCCTTACTGCCAAAAAGCGTTCGACATTTAACACTTGTAAATTTCTTTAGCCGGCCGACTTGAACTTTTCTGGCGGCGTTTCGTGTTTGTTCCGAATGGAGCTGGATCTAAAGCTGGAGTCCTCCCGGGTTCGATTGGGGGATTGCATGGTAACCTGTCGTGATTCTTATTTTAATTTGCTTTGACTTGTGCGCCTTTTTCGGGCGGCCTCTCGGTAACTCTCCGACTCGCCAATTGCCAATCGCCATTTGCCGACTTTCCTCGCCGACAGTTATTAGGCCTAAATGCAGAAGCGATGCGGCGATGTTCGACTCATTAGCAGCTGGCCAAAAAGGTTGCTGCCTTGGCAATTATCGTGAACCGTTTGCTGACGAACGCGGATAAAAGACCACAAAAACGGAATAAGGACATCGTTATGGTTTATTCTTAGAGAATACCTTTATGATTATAGTCATTTAATGTTTACTGTATGTTACTTTTGCATTTATGATTCCAATCCTGTATATAGTTTTATTTTATGTTTAACAACACATTTAAAAATGTTTTAAATTATATTTTTTTTGTAAAATGAATATCCAAGTAAGACGTTAGCATTTGAACGCAAAAAATGAACCAAAAACCTATGCTTGTCTCGCCCAAAAGTCGAGTTGAGAACATCTATCTGGGCTATAAGTTAGCTCAAAGTTGGCCAAATCCGAGACATAAATTTCCAAACTTATCTATGCCGGCGGATCGTGAGCTTGTTGCTTGTTGGTGTTTTTGGGGCTGGCGGCCCGTAGTTCGCAGTTCGCGGCTCGGAGCTGACTACATCTGACAAGTGTTAATTGAATTCATGTCGCTGGTAATCATAATAATAATAACAATATCATGTTGTGCTCTCGGATCCCTCTCGACTCTGGAGCGCCGCAAGACATGCGCTTGCCGAGCTTTTGATGTCGGCTCTCGATGTCTTTCCATCCATTCCGTCCATTCTGTCTGCCCGGCATCGTTATAAATTACTCAATTAATGTCAGCGTTTATGTCAGCGCTCCGCCATATAGTCGAGCCGATCTGAACCGAGTCGATCCGATCCGATCCTGGCCTGAAGTCTGGCAGTACTGGGGGTACTGGGGATACTGAGCTCCGAAGCCTGGGTACCCGGCCAGAAGATAGGCACATGCAGATAGTACACATAGATATGACATGGTAATGGGGCATGTTTAGTGGCTGTCGTCGGTTTAATTAAAAACGGCTTTATGCATAAAACAAAAAGGCCCCAGACTGGCTGACAAGTTGCGCAACTTGACACTTTGCAGCGGCGTGTAGAGTGTGCAGTGTGGAGTGGCTTTGGATGGACGATCGGACGAGCGGACGAGCGGACGACGGGCTGTTCCCGAGCCCTTTGCGGCAAGTTCGTTGCCTAAGTCTTTTGTCTTCTTGTTTCGCGTCGTCGCCACTCGACACAAAAAACGTGCAAAATATGATTTTTTCGCTCCGTTTTTCACCTTTTTTCCCTTCCAACTTTAATTTTGTTGCTGTGTGTGGATTTCGTTTCCAACTACTGCTGCTGAAAGCAAAATGTCAATTTTGTGACTGGATGGCTTTTGTCTCTTTTGACGCCCTCTCAATGGCGATGACGGCGGCGGGTCGTACACCCACGCCCTCCTCCTCGATGTTGGTGAATATTAACTCCGGATGACAAATACCCTTTTCGATAAACTTACCTTGAGAAAAAGAGAACTATTAAAAATAAATTCTAACACAGGACTAATAACCATAAGTTAAGAATTTTAAGAAGAAAGGTTAATAATTTAAAAATAGTCTCTCTCTAATTCTGCAATTAATATAACAAAGAACTTTCGAACTGAAACACCGTTGAAAAAAGGGTTTCGTATATTTAAGTAAACTTCATCAAAAGAGCATTTACACTTCATATGGCATACATTCAAGTGCTCCAAAGGTACTGGAAACTAATACGCGGCACGGGCATAATTAAATCTTTTGCCTATCGCCTTTTGTGTGTTGTAATAAGATAAATCCGATTTCAGCTGTCTGCGGCAAGTGAGCCAAACAACAGGTTGCTCTGCAACAAATCGAATGTGCGGGTTGAACGCCCAACGGAGAACTAAAAGCGAGGCGCTAAAAGAACAATTTGTCATAGCTACATATATTCGTGGTATTTAAAAGAACTCTGTTTTTGTGTTTTCTGTTTACTGCATAAGCATATATGTGTTTATATATTTTTTGAGCACTTAACGTGCTGACAAGTTGAAGCTTTGCGTGGATTTTGCCTCATGGGGTCTTGGAGGCTCAGACACATTTGAGTTTTTTGATATGCGCTGTCTGTCGCCTGTTGACGGATTTCTGTATTTTTTTTTTTGCTGTTTCCAGCTTTGCCCGGTGTGGGTGGCCCACACATATGGCCAAACCAGAGCTCGGTGCAATTTTTTTGCCGCTGGCGCCTCAGTGCCATATATTCGAGGTCCGATTCGAGCCGGAGTCCACATTAAGTTTTCAAATTGCTTTTTCTCGCTGCGGCGGTTGGATTAAGCTTATTTCCGTATTGAAGTTTCAGCTTAGCTTTTGCGGTCTGAATTAATTAGCCGCCGCGTAAACAAAGTCCCGGCCTGTTCTATGGCATATTACGAGTGCAAAAGTCAATCTTTATGGTTCTGTGTGCGGTCGAAGCCACAACGCCAACGCACTCGAATTTGAATTTCATAACTCCGACCGAAACCGTATCCGAATCCGAATCCGAATCCAAATCCCAGCGAGACAATGGTAATTATTAATAATGCAAATAATTATATCGATTCCGTTTTCAGGGGCGTTGTCTGCATGTGATTTGTTCAAAAGGTTCTCATTTTTTTTGTTGTGTCGAATTAGTTCCTCGGTTCGCTTTGATCGCCTGGCAGTGTGGGAAAAAAGTTCTCATTTGGCTTTTTGGCCACTTGATGCTTGTTTTTTGTGGGTTCTGTGTCGGTTTCGCTTCGGTTTTGTTATGGCTAATTTGCCTGCGCTGCATTTTGGTTTCCTTTTGATTAATTTGACGTCGACGACTGCACGGCATCGGTTTTATAACCTGGCCGAGACGTATTTTCGGCCAGTTCCGCCGAAGTGTTGTGTGTGTGTGCGTGTGTGTGGCATGAGTTATGGACAGTCCGGCTTGTCTTGCTCTTGGCTAATCATGGCTGTCAGCCGATCTGCTCACCCCTCCACACATGAAGTGTTGTTGTTGCGAGCGATGCAAAACGACACAACTCTTTTTTAAGAAGACAACAAATTTACAGCATATTTATATCTACAAATTTGTAAGCACTAAATTTATATAAATGTATTGTTTACATTTAACTAGTAATTATTAATGAGTTTATGCATTTAATTAAATACTTACAAAGAAATATGTATGGCAAATAAATATGCTATCCTGAAAATGTATTCTTACTTGTCTAAAAAAATAATATATTTAGCCTAATTATTCAAAAAATTTACCCAAAAGAATTAAATTAATGAATTATTGTTTAAAATTGTGTGTAAATTTTCTCTCAATTCGTTCAATTAATAAAAGTGCTATTATAAAAGCATTAAAGCCTACAACGATTCTATTATTTTCAATCTGCAAGCCATTGCCCAATATGGCTAATCTAAGCGAGCGTCAAAATCGATTGCCAAAACCCAGGCACGAGTGACTTGGCCTAAACGTTTTGTGTTGGCAGCGTTTCAGAAACATGACGATTAGATCTTAATACAGAAAATGGCGTTTACTCAACACACGATCAGCGGCCCGAGCTGGGAACAATCATAATTAAATATTAATTTACACTCGGAGCGTTAAGCAAACAACACGTACACTTTAGTGGCCATAACAACAACAAGAACAACAATACTATTAGCAATAGCCGATAAAAAAAAAAAGCAAAAGCAAAAACAAAAACAAAAACAATACCCGTTGTCTATATGTGTGTTCAGCTGCGGCGCCTGGTAATATTCCATAATTTGTTTCATGTGCCGATTGAAATTATTAAATATTAATGGCCAACGAGCGGAAAAAACGTGTCTTGAATATCTGAATTTAAATAAGAATAATTTTGATAGGAAAAATGCATTTAAAAATGCATTTTGAGCGAACTTGGGGCGATCGGAGATTAATTAAACTGCCATGGCGAGGAAGCCGGGCCCAAAATTAGAAAAAGAACAGGGCGTGTGCTGCTGGCCAACGAAAAACTTGGCTATTTCGAGCCGACTGCCAATTAAGCCAACTCTGCACGTAGCCGCAATAAACGAAATGCGAGCAAAGTGAAAAACACATTTTTCGGTTGTTTCTCGGCCTTTGATTTTTCCATTTTGTTGTATTTCGACGGCCCATAAATTAGCGCTCTAAACGATTGCCTGGCTGGCACTTGTCACCAGGCCCCCGTCTAATTTAACCTTTGACCAAATGCCGCTACCACAGAACCCGACCGCCTGTCCGTGCGTTCCAAAAGGGGCGTGGCACTTGGAGCCGCCGAAACGGCAGCACGCGCACTCAAAATCAAAATACAGAAAAAAAAAAATAGAAGCGGAATAAAAAAATCTGACTGTCCCCGGTTCTGGCGAGTGCTGTCTGGCAAATGCAATATGACTTTCAAGTGGCGGCTCTATGGCGTGGTTTCCTAATAGACCAAAAAGCTACCGCTTGGCCCAATCGAACTGGCAAGTAAGTTGTTGGAATTCGAACGGAGAGATACCCTTGCTGAAGACTGGAGATTTGTTGAGGAAAAAAATTATTTAGACTAGAAATATACAGATAACAATAATGATGAGTTTGCCAATTATAAATGCTTTCTCTTAAAGTAAAATTAAAATGAGCCTCAAGTTTTAATCTTATTACCTTGCTAATGAAAATTATCTATAAAGACAATTAAACTATTTTTCTTAAAGCTTCATATTTCTCGGAAATATAAATAATTTATGAACTAAATAATTCGTTTTGTTTAAAACTGCAGTCTAATTATTTATTCTTTACGCTTAGTGGGTTTGTGATTTTTTGTGGCAACTAAATTTTCATTTTCAAAAATGAAAACATTTTTATTGGGAAAGATATCAAAATATTTTAAAAAATTCTTGTAAAAAAGATACATACATCTATTGTACACCAATACCTCCGTCCAAATCTCACCAGAATTTCCC